GAGAGAGAGAGAGAGAGAGAGAGAGAGAGAGAGAGAGAGAGAGAGAGAGAGTCTTCCAATCTCTCATCCCTCGAGCTTCTTTAGATTTTCTATTGTATTCTTACTTCGTTTAATACGCTTATGTAGGGTGTCCAATTTTTCTGATGGTCGTGGATCTGGCCAAAATCTTGTTTCATAAGTTATTTTACCCCAAAAGTCGCTATATACCTAGTGCTTCGTGGCATTGTCTATCATCTATAATGTATTCAGTTTTTAATTTATTTACCTTCCTTGTGTACTGTGGAGAAGTTACGTCTTTGGATTATTATGACTCTCCTGGGTGGTTGGAGGATGCCACTGGTAAAGTCTTCTCCGTGGTTGGTTGACGGGTGTTCTAGTGTGGTTTGCTCCTTCTTTCCTATCAAACATCTATTGTCCTTATCTCTCCTACTCCTTTTTTGGTGTATGTTACTCTCTTGTAACGCATCTATTCTTCAGCACTTATATGACCTTATTGTGTTCCAAGTGCCGTAAAACACTTACTAAATCGACATGTGTAAAACGACTACTAAAGTCTTCTCCTCTGCTATCCCTCATTCGTTTCTCTACCCGTCTGCCTTGAATTGTTCCACCCCTACATTGAACGATTTAGCATAGGACAGGCCTATTTATAAAAGTGTAACAAAACCATGTTAGATTTTATTTTCTTCCTATCGCTAAATGGCTGTTTCTCTATACTATATAACGAAAAATCTATTTCCTGTGAAAAAAATTGCGTAAACTTGAGATCCCCCCCAAGAAGGCAATGATGGCCACGTTGACTTTAATTGTTCACAATGTTCTCTGGTGCGGTTTCCAAGTCATCTTATTTTCGATTTATATTTCTGTGTTACTCAATGTGCCCGTCTTTCTCACTCTTTCCGTCTCTCTTTCTGTCTCTGTCTCTCTCTTTCTGTCTTCCCTTCTATCTCTGTTTGTTTGTCCCACCCTGTGGTCTAACCCAGTCTCCCAACATTCTCCCCCTTCCCCTCCTCTCTCTATTCTCTTCTGCAACTCTTTCCATCGTTTCGAAAGAATCACGTCTTGGAGAAAAAGCAAAAAATGTCTGATATGATGTCATTATTTTCCGATTTGTTCCGTTTGACTTCTGCTTCTATAAACTCTCTGTGTTCACCCCCTTCGTCTCGCCCCCCCCCTCCCCACCTACCCAAACTATATTCTGTGGTTAAGGTCCTTTTTAATCCCCTCATTTCTCCGTCTTTCCTGTCGGCAGCGAAATTCCGAGCGGGTGGTTGGTGGGCATCATTTGTTGTTACTCTCCCTTTTTTATACGGGCCAGTCGTACTTTTTTCCCCTCCATTTTACGTTGAAATCAAACAAGAAATTCCAAATACTTTGTGAATGTGATAGTAATGAATTCAGATCCAACCCCTCTCACTTCAGGTTTTCCGTAGTTGTCTGTGGTAAAATCAGCTGAATGGCCCTCTCCGAGATTTTCTCTTAACTTACCCCAATCCCCCCCCCCCCCACACAATCATAACTAAGTTCAAGTTTCTTGTTTGTAGGACCGACTGAACATTTCAAAACGGCAGAGGGAGCTCGCGACCGTCCTGAGAGAAACTGACGAAGGCGTAAGGACTGAACAAAGTCATAAAATTAAAACCATGATCGTGGACTGCCAATTTGACAACGTGAGTTGGTACCACTTGAATTCACTCCTACCTTAATTCCTTTCTCAGCCTCTCTCTCTCTCTCCCCCCCCTCCCCTCATATTTCTCTTCTGTGATGGGACACGCTTGTGAGAGAGAATGCGTATGCGCGCAGATATTATGCAAACATTTAACATTATGGTACAACACCAATTAAAGTTTGCATAACCTGAGCAGCATGTTCTGAGAGAGCGGACGAAGGGGCGGAAGGGGGG